TTCCTTCTATCTATTATAGTTTTCGAGTAAATCAATGAAATGTGAAAACACAGTTTATTAAGAAATTTAAGATATTTACTTGGACATTTTTATAAACTGAATAATTGAACTGTATAATTGTTACTAGAATTAATACAATATTAATCAAGTAATTAGTACCATCCAACGTAAATATTAGTTGAAACAAGAGCAAAGTTGCTCCAATAACAGTTTTAATTAAATCCGATGAAAAGTGCAAGTTCCTGCACCAACGGTTCAGGTGCGGCCCACGCTTCGAACACAAATTACTCATTAATCCCAGAAGTTAATCAAACTAAACGCAAAAAAAAAGAAACTTACCATTTACGTTACCTATATTTGTACACTAATTAGTTTCAGTTCGAGTTTAATTAAAACAAATATGTATATATATATACACGGATCGAATATAAATCCACCTGTCCACACTGAAACCGCAAACTTCGATCGAATAAAACAGAAAACATAGATTTATGAATTCATGTTAATTCGCAACAAAACCGCGTAATTATTTGCCGACTTTTTAAATGAAACTCACTCGATGTAACCGCAATCTGGACTGAAATCATCATTTCGTTTCATTATTATATTTTTTTTTCATTTAACCGCTCGTACTCCGCTAGATTGTAAATATTTATCAATTAGTGCGGACGAGTGTATATTGTATTTATTTTCAAGTCCACGTGTTCAATAAAAATTAGCCTTCGCTTATCGTTATTCGATATTGTACAATTGGCTGAGGATCTCAAAGAGATAGAGAGAGAAAGCGACAATCTGGATGAGAGAGTCCAATCCTCAAGCAGATAACATACAAAGGCGCTGTTGTTTCAGTCCGCTGATAATGGAATCGATGAGCGCATTGTTTTACCATTCAATAACATTGATGTAAGATCCGTTGATTCTCTCCTGAGATATGAGAAAACGCTATTGATCTAATATTAATCGCATCATTGATTATCGAAAATATCGTATGCACTTTTTGGATAATCATCTGATTATACTAATTAAATCAAGGCAATAAACTTAAAATATTAGCCAATTGGTGTTGAGGATTAGAATCATTTTCAAGTTGTCTAATTTGATAAATTTATCAAGTTTTAAATGACGAAGTTTGCAAGAAAATGACAAAATTTATAAATATTTGCTAATGTTAAAATTGTCAATGAACGAAGTTGGTGTACATTTAGACCTTTCAATTTGATTACGTTTTCTTAATGAATTCGTTTTGTATTGTAGGCTTGAGAACGAAACACACACGTCCGGTGTTAATCCTCTTTGCTGCAAAACCCTTTTCGAGATACTGGAGATTCGCTAATCCTGGAAATGATTACGATCTGAAATTCTGGAGATAAATGTTGGATGGATGAGAGAAGAAGTAAGGTGCATCAGGTGTGTACTAAATCTATTATAAGCGGTGTCTTATTTCGTTTGCATTCTGATCGTTACGTGGATGAACTGCAGAGAAGACAACTTTCTGAAACCGGAACGTGAGGTGCGTGCATTAAAAGACAAAAAATTCATCCATCACTTCATATTTTTTTTTTTCACTTTTACATTAGTTTTTCAACCGAAAATAAGATATTTTTTACTTTATTCTTATATGAAAAAAAAACTTAATTCTTATATAATACCATAATTTACTTTTCAAAATTAATTAATTACAAATCTTTCAATAAATTGCACTGCAGTTAGGCAACACATTTAACCTGATTGTAATTCTTATCATAAGTATTTTCAAAAATTGATTATTTTGTTTGTAAAGATTGCAGTTTCCTGGTTTTACTTGCATAAAACACAGACGTTAATTATTTATCTTGATAACTAACGCTAATTTCATCAGCAAAGTGATGAGAGTTGTTAATTTAACTAATTGCGATTCATATATGCTTTTGGCGAAAACAATATTGCGGAGACGCTCATCGAAATAACACAATTTCCATTGCATTACTTCGAGAAGTAGAACTTTGCAAATAAGATAATATAAACTCGGTTTGATTAAAAGTTTAGAAGAAATAACAATGTCAATTTCTTTACATGAGTTAAAACGAATCTTGTATTTTACAAAGAATTTATTGATTAAAGTTTTTTTTTGGATGAGAACTTTATTTCAATTTTGTTTGAAGGAAGGAAGTTTTACACTGAATCAATACGTTAATAATTGCATTGACTATTTGAATTATATGTGAAGTTAGGACTAGAGAACGCTTCTTGTTAAGCGAGGAAAGGCGACATTAACTCCATTTAGAGATGATTAAATTTGTAGCCACGGGGATTTCAATTCAAATGCAAACGTTTGCATTTGATTCCTTTTCGATGTTGTTTGCTGAACTTCCGCATAGGCTTATAAGATTACCTCACTTTCCAGCGAGATTTTTTTCTGAGTGAAATCTAGGAAAAGTATAATGAATATTTTGGCGGCTGACTTTATGATTGTAATTCCAACCCTTACGTGAATTAATGGTCAAGGTATTAAAACGGATTTCACCAGCAATTTATGTGAGGATAATTTAATACCCCCAAAATCCTATTATCCTCGGAATTATATATTACCATATTACTGCATATTTCACTAACAATTGGATAATGGATAAGCTGAAGATATTATTGATTAAAATGAATCTCATAAAACTACGAATATAATATATAGTTGCGAAAATTTCCATTAATTAGACTCAATACATTTACTTGTTTTGTAACCTTACCTAGTAGCAACAAGATAACACTTTTCATAACATTTTTACTCATCTCCGACTCAGAGACTGGACATTCTCAAATTCCTTATCAAAAGATGTTTTATCGTTTAGCTCCTTGTGTTTATTTACTTTTTCAACGTAAAGTGGAAAATATTTACAAGGCTCTGACAATTTATTCATTTACTTTTTTTAGTTGTTTATTATTAATAACAACTTAACTGTTAACTTTTCGTATAGACATAAAATTTTGCAGATAATTTAGGATCATAGTTGTGTTATCATAGAAATTGTTTTCGGATCAAGTGTTCGCGTTGTGTCAAAAGTTGTGTTTGTCAAGAGGAAATGAGTGGGGTAGTGGATATGCCCTTCGGGTTTCCCATCCTTGGGATAGCCGTGGTCGTCGGTGTGATGAGAACTCCGCTATCCAAGATTTACATTCCTCATCAGCTGATCATCATCCTCGTTGCGTGCACTTTATCCAATCTTCAGCATTACCACATCGTGGCGGATATATGGACGATCGACGTGGACGCGGATACCTGGATCAACATAGTGAGCCCGATAATAGTCCTGAAGATCACTTACACGATGGACAACTATTTGTTCTTGAGATCTCTACCGCAGATCTTGATAATATCGACGATAGGATTCTCTATAAGCACTGCGCTCTGTGGAACTTTAACTTCGCTGCTCTTGAAGAACACAATTTCCGTGTACAGCGTCATCCTGGCCGGAGTTGTCTTAAGCGTCGTCGATATGCCGGACAGCATCTTCTCCTACGAAACGATCCGTCAGACCGGAGTGTTCATGGGCGGCGATTGCATAATCGGTTTAACAATAGCCACGTCCACGTTGCAGCTGTTGATCGGCATCAAATCACTGATTATAACTGAATGGTATCATATTGTTATGATTCTGATAAGGCACATTCTCTGCGGAGGAGTTGTTGGGTATATAAACGGAAAGGTGATGGCCTATCTCATAACGGGGATTTACAATGATTCGTACCTTTTGGTGAGCGCCATGCTTGGAAGCTCTTACGTTACGTTCATGTTCTGCGAAGTGGTTCTTTTCTGCTCGGGAAGTTTCGCCACTTTCATACTGGTGATGTTCATGAGCAGAGAAAGGGCGAGACTCAGCGGACACACTGATGATGGTGTGGTGCAATTCTTGGATTCCCTCTACGATATCATCGAGATCATCATCGGCGTAGTCATCGTAACTTATTTCACCATTCACTTGATGGAGCACGCTTCTATATGGTTGCTGGCCTTATCCTTCGGCGTCTTCATCATAATCACGACGTGCAGATTTATGGTCTTGCTGATACTATCCCCAGTATTGAGCAGAATCGGCTACGGCTTCACTTTCTCGACGATGTTCTGCTTGTACTGGGGCGCTCGCAGATATTTAATCCAACTGATGATCATCTACTTCATCAACGACTATAATCTCGATAAACACGTCGAAGCGTACATCTGCTTCACGGTGACCTGCTGCGCTCTAACTCTTCTCCTTAATGTTACGACTTTGAAGATATTCTTGATTAAAATGAAGCTCATGGATCTCTCCAATTCGAAGAAGAGGAACATCCAGAACTGCATCAAGTATCTGTTCAATACGCGCACGAGGATTCTCTCGATCATGAAGATGAACAGGATATTTTCCGATGCGAACTGGCCGATGATTCAGGAGAGGACGAAACTTTTAGGCACTGTAGTTAAATTCGAGGATTCGACCGAAGGAGGAAACGTGATGATGATCGGACAGCGGCAATCTCAGTGCCCCTCGTGCCATAAAACAGTTATGATCCAACCGACGAAGAAGGAATTGGTGAAGATGAAAGCGTAATCACATTGTAAAGTATACATTTTCCATTACTTATTGCAAGTTTATTTAATTATAGCGAAGTGAATTTGCGAATCCTGAAGACGGAGAAGATATCTTATATCAGACAATACGAGGACGGTTTACTCAATAAAGAGGGAGTGCGTGTGCTGATGCAAGCAGTCGAAATGGCCTCGGATTCTGCCGACTTGTACATAAAATTGGACGAGCTTTTCATTATATTCAAAGAAAAAGTTTAATTTAGAAAACACATATTTTTTGCAATTCTATTAAATGTTTTCGTTTTGCAGAGCTTCTTCGAACGTACCAAGATGGCGTTTTTACATTTGTGCAATACGGAGATTCCCATGAAAGTGCCCCGGCAATTCGTGAGAAGTCAATGCTATCGCATCATGATGCACCGTGTCTTCGATATCCTCGTATACATCGTCACCATGCTTTTCTGCATCGTCGTCCTATTCCAGATCTTCTTCAGGGATCAGAAAACCTCATTATTTATGACCCTGGTCATAATAGAACACTTCTTCTTCATCTTCTACGTGGTCGAGTTTGAGATAAAGTTGCTTGCATATTCGCACACGTCCAAACTGCAAGGATTCAGAAGTTACATGAGGTTTGCATATATATCTTTTTTTTCATAAATTAATCAATCTATTCGGATATTTTGTGCAGGTGTCGTTGGAATCAGGTGGATTTCATTGCTCTGGTTATCAATAGTTTGGATTGGTTCTACTCGTACATCAAGTATTTGAATTACACGGAGGACGAGGTGTGGCACATAATCAGCGAGTATTTTCGTTACGCCGAGGCCATACGTCTCATTAAGATGCTGAAGGTGTTTCAAAAGCTTTACCCAAAATTCTTGTCGTACTGCGACAAGAAAATCGACACCAAAGTTTCGTACGCTTTTCGCATCGGAATGGTTTTATAAATATATATTGATTACGAATTTATTTGATTCTATTAAAAAATACTTGTTTTTGTAGGCTTTGGTGGTGGCTTTCGAAGAAGTCATCGAAATGTTACCGTACATTGCGGATAACAAGGAGATCAAGGACGAGCTCATGTTCAAACTGAACAGTGACAGATTGGCTATAACGCAGCAATTGGCTCTAATACAGAAGGATCGACCTTGGATTACAATCACTGTGAAAACTAAGCAGGCCGTAGCTTCCACTCTCAAGCATATGCAACGCGGAATCATGGAATTGAAACAATGCGGTATAAAACTAATTTATTGTTTTGTGATTCTCAAGAGGTTTTACGAGGTTTGTTTAGGTATCACCGACAAATACGAGTTTAATAAGCTGAATGCATCTCTGGAGGAACGTTTGAGTTGGGTGTGGAGATTGAAATCCCTTCAGAGTATTCCTCCGAAGACGTTGTTTTACGAGATTCCCTGGATGGTGGATGAAATGTTTATCGTTGAATATCTTTACGAGAATGTTGCAACTAAGGTTTGGGATGCTGGGGACGTTATTTGTGAGATTGGTGACGTCGCCGAAGGGGTTTTTATTTTGGTTGCAGGTATAAAAACAATTTTTATTTGTTATCTTAAAAAAGGTCACTTTAACAATTGTTTGATAGGAGTTTTGAAAGTAACTTATGTTCCGAACACCGAGACCTTGGAGAATATGAGTATATTCGGGACTCTTCCGATAAGAGAGATTCTGAGCAACAAGAGATTCAATGAGACCCAAACAGAGTATCTTATGATGGGGAATAGCATGGGAGAGTTGGCTGTGCTGACGGGACGTCCGTACAACTGCACTGTGGTCTCAGATACACCCAGTCAAACGTTCTTCATCCCTGCGCCGGTTCTGCTGGAAGCGATCGAGATGAGCAAAGATCCTGTCGATGGGTGAGTGATGATTCCGTTTTGGTGTAGGCTTTATGTTGATATTTTAGATTGTCGCCTCGTTTGTGGAAGTATATAACTGTTAATTTGGCAAAGAACGTTTTGATGGATACGCATATCTATCAATCGACGAGCAACGAGCAGTTGAGGACCATTTTGGGAAGAGCTTTCGTGCCCAATTTGGCTGCTTACAAGATGTTCGTGTTGTCTGAGATGATCGAGGATATCATACTGATTGAAGGATTGATCGTGGATTTCAATACGAGGGAAATATACACGGCTCCCTTGTACATCCCCAGGTTTTCAACTATATTATTCTTCTTTGCTCCGTTTAGTGTAGAGCATGTGATATTTGTTGTAGGACGGTCAATAAGATTTTACTGCCGTCGAGCGAGTCGTTCAGCATCGAAAACATCACGAAGACCATTCTGATGATTATTCCTGATAAAGAGGCGGACGATTATGAGCTTATGGAGCGGAGCCAGGCGATGTCTGATTTGGTGAGTATCAAATATTAACTATTTGAATAGTCAGATTATTTCTATCGTTTATTTAGATAGCGAACCCTCCGAAACATTTGTTAGTCCATGCTTCTGTGAAAAATAAGACGAGGCATATTAAGAACATGCTTTCGACCAAGAGGAAGCGATTCGGTAGGAAGTCGAGCAGCAGCAGTCAGGGAAGTTCTCGATCCTCGCGATCGTTTAAATCCCGAGTAAGTTAAACCAGCGGAGTTAATAATTTCGATCGATTCTAAATGTTCATTTCAGATATATAGCAGGGGTCGCGCCAGTTCCGAGGTATCGTCGGAACACTCCTCGAGTCACGGTAGTTCCTCACACGACACCTCGGACAATGTGATCAGCGACACGAGCAGTACGCATTACGACGACGAGAGCGAAGGACACGTGGGTCAGTCCATCTCTGAACCGACGTCTGTAGTGAAGAAGGGAAAACTGCCGTTACCCGATGTCGAACATCAATCGAAGGAAAATATTGAGGTCGAGCGTGATCACGTTCAAGAACATGAGCAGGATCGCGATCAAGAACATCACAACGATAATGAACATGTTCGTGATCAGGATCATGATGTCGATAATCAGCATTCGCAGAAGCCCAAAGAGATTCAAAGGTTACCAGACATCGTCGAAGACTTGAACGTAATCTTCGAAAGCTCCACGGACGAGCGCAACATGGTACCCATCGAGAGCAAGCCGAACCAGGTGACCAGTTTCGAGGATCTGTTCAATCGTAGCGAATATCCGGTCACGAAGAAGGAGATGATGCGGAAGATGTACGAGAACAATCCGAAGGAGGCGAGGAAAATGTTGAACAGAGCGCTGGCCTACCGGAAGGTGTTTCTGCATTCGAAGGTAAATAACATCAACAATGATTTGCGAATTTAAGTCAAAACGTAACACGTAATATCTGTTTATTAATAATATTTATGAGTTTGCCGGTTTTTCTATATCGAATATTGTTTGCGCTTCGAGGATAAATATGAACGTTTTTCCTTTATTGTTTTGATCTATTGTTCGCGGTTCTCCTATTGATGAAATATTAATGGTGAATGAGCGGAAATCCCCCGAGGACCTTCCAAGTGTCTTCGAAGGATGTAGAAGACGCGAACGCCTTCTCAGACCTCGGAATTGTTTTCGACCCCTGTCGAATTTGAATTGGTAATCGAATGCAAAACTCGCGAGTTTTTCTTATTTCCTCCGTCTGGTATTAAGAACGATATTTTATGTATGTATGTATGCCTAGCAAAAGTTCAGATTCGACAGAGGGAAGTGTATAAAACGGATTTTGTTGCAAATTTTATTACTCCAATACCATTCTCGATTTATGGGAAGAATCAAGTGGAAAACTCTTTAATACGTGGAAAGTTCTGGGAAGCGACAACAACTCAATCCGCGAAGTAAATTTTTAATATCTAAAGCAAATTTTATAATTGATTGCCGCGCAGTGGGTGGATCTGGATCAAAGTGAAACTTTTCTGATTATTTTGATTTTCGAGCGCTCTCAGTTTCGTGGAAAGTTTAATTGATTTTCTTTCGCATCTGTTTCTTTCATCCGTTTCTTCCTCCTCTTGTAGCCTTGTGAAAATGTTTTCATCCCTTTTTCTGGTTTCAAGAGTAATCTCAGCAATCGTACACATAAAATGTTTAATGGATCGTTAAGCAAAGTTGTAAAATCTGCATATTTTCATTAGTTTTTTTTTTAATTATTAATCACTTTTCCTGCAGAATATTCATTTAATCTGCATTATTTTAGGTATTATAATTATATACACGTTATTTCTTAAGTTATTTACCTATTATAATATCATATTAAATATTATATAGAGCAGATATCTGCTGAAATCAATAATGTTGTGCAACGTTCAACTTATTTTTATTTTATTTAAAAAACCTTTTCGTCGAACGAAACACGACGACTTTCTCCAATTATTCAGAGATCCTCGAAAGCTCTACGAGTGCTTCAATTACTGCGTTTCGAACCTTTATGACTCTTGTTCCAATCAATAAGCAGATACGTGAATGAGTTTCAGATGAAAATGCATTTTGCATTCAATAATGGATTTTCTATTGTCGTTGGTAGAAAACTACTCTGAAACGTGTCGTATTTATTTTCCGGATGTGAAATCACTGCAAATATCGATTGGATTTGTTTTTAAATAATCCGTGCACGGTTGATGGAAATGATAAAAATAATATGTTTTTGATATGTTTACATTAAGGCTGATTTATGTTTCGTATTTTTATATATATGATTAATAATTCACAAACTCTCTGCGAGTCTCGCATTGTTTTAACATTTTTTCAATGCGAAATGAAAGGGAGATTTATTGCAAGTGCTCCCACGTGCGACGGATTTACGATAAAATATTTCCCTAAAAGCCAGACATAAATATGCATAAACTACATTTAAAACAAATATTTTATAATATTAATTTCTTGTTTGATAAACATTTTTTTTAAATTATTGAATGTTGTAATATTCTACTATTGTACTACGTATGATGAGTTGTACATTTTATGCTGAAGAACATCTTCTATTAAGTTAAAAGCATGCCAGCGTTAGAATTTATGGTCTTGGATAATGTTGACGTGAAGCATGGACTAAAAAAATAAATGATTTTGCCCTTTTGCCTAAACTACCGCTATAAACCTTAATGTTTTGCACCTATTAAGTTCAATATTGAATATTGTAAAAGGAATTGAAGGACGAATGTTGATCGGTTTCAAATGCAATGTTATTATGTTTCACTTACAATTATATTTCATGTTACAAATCGATAAAGTATGAATTTGAAATAAGGAAATTCAATGATTTTCAATGAAAATCTTAAAAGTTTACTAGTAATTTTATATTTGATTTATTAAATATAAAAATTCTGTAAAGACGAAAACAGATTGTCGTGAGAACGACGACGACGACGATGACGACGAACTGAGTCTTTCTTGGACGAGAGAATGATTAACGGTGTGTGACTGTCACGCTTTTCTCGGTGGAAACACTTTGCGGGTAGTTTCAATCGAAATAAAAAAATAATAAAAAAAAATACACGAAACAATTTAGTTGAAAACTTTTGCGTGTCCGTTGCAAATATCAAATGGACGAAGAGAAAAAACACCTGCTCGAAAATGCACTACTCCCTTCTGTCCAATTACGAGTTTAGAGCTTAATTGTGGAGCGCGAATAATTATGCCGGCGTTCTACGCAACGTTTTAATTGCAACTTAAAATTTCGTAATTAATTATGTTGCATTTCGCAGTTGAATCATTGTTCAATTTCCCCCAATTGTTACGTCGCATTTGATTTTACACGAATATTTCTATTGGTCGTCCAGTTGATGGTTTCCATAACAACAGGTTTATTAAACAATTGCTGCGGTGCATTTGAATGCGTATAGAATCAAGGCGAATTGTCCGGGACAACGACATTTTGCAAAAAAAAAAGAATGTGTGAAAAAGACAGCGGAAATCATCTGTCTATTTAGGTATGTATGAAGATATCGGAGCGTCGCGACGCCGACGCCACTGCGTATTCCCACGGGGCGTTTGGAAGGGAAAACAACTTCCCGTAACTACGACGTCGCGTTGGGATATTTGTCGTCGAAGAGGGACGCATCTCTCCTTACGAGACGACGAAAAGAGGAAAACAAGTGTTGCAGCAAATGACCTGAGACAAGGCAGACACATTTTGAAGATCGCTCTGAAAATGATTGCCCTTCCACGTTATAACGTCCACACCAATATTGAACCCACTCGAGATTCGTTATTAATAAATTTCAGTATAAACATCACAAAGTAGTAGTGATCAAGTGTGTTTTCTTTTTTAATATGTAGCAAACTGTTGTTCCCATAAAGTTTGGATAATTGAATCACACAAGTAATACATTTTTTATTGCTCATCTTTGGGTGAACGCTTTGATGCTGGCTGGCTGCTGCTACATCGTTTGAAACGGTCACTACTTTTTAGTTCTGCATAAAGTTTATCGTTTCGTGAAGCGGCAATCATGCGTCGACGGAGGCAATTTCGACGTCCCTTTTTGCCGTCTCGATTGCTCCGATCCAATAGATAGACGAGCAACGGAAATTGACGAAGAAATCAATTCCTCCTATGAATTTCCCAAAGCGAAAACAAATACAGAAGAAGGAAAAACCAAGAACGTAACTCCTTTTATGATTCCATAACTATAATCGGCGATGGAATATGCAAACAAAGGGTGGAAAACATCTTCAGACATTAATACGAAATCCATCCATAGAGAAAAGCATTATTGTTATGTGTTGTGCTGTGTATCTTTGTTGCTTTGGAGAGTATTTGGGAGATTTTACAGAAAAAAATGTGTTTGAATAGGGAGAAAAGAAAGGAGGAAAAAATGAGCGAGGGACGAAAAAGAAATAACGTTGTGAGCGGCATAAATATTCAGACCACTCACGGGACACGAATGCAAAATCGGATGAGCGGATTTCTCGACGAATCTGACAGCATTTGCAATCAATTCATTCCGTGTGCGAAACTAATTCATTCGGTCCTGCAAATATGCCAATTGGATCATTTAACTGTTTTTGTGAGCTCAATAAAATCAGAAATAATTACCATTTCAATGGTAATTTTTTAACAGTTATAGAATTTTAAAAAAGTTATAGAAAGTTTCAATTTTTTTATTTGTTATATAAATTTCAATTCCTTTATAAACTGTTATTATTATTTCTTTAATTTAAAATGTTATAAATAAAATAAACTTAACTTAACTAGAAAACTTGTAAAAAAAAGTTTTTGTTTACTTTTTTCTCTCTGAATATATAAATGAAACTGTAAATTAATAAGTTTTTTTTTACTAAGTTTGATACGAGTTATTTCCAACTTCAAAACTGTTATGGGTCTCGACGTATCTGACAGGATTTGCAATCAATTCATTCCGTGTGCGAAACTAATTCATTGGGTCCTACAAATATGCCAATTGGATCATTTAACTGTTTTTGTGAGCTCAATAAAATCAGAAATAATTACCATTTCAATGGTAATTTTTTTAACAGTTATAGAATTTAGTTGCCCTTGTTGTGTTTCTATTTAGTTTGTTGTAATTTAATTTTTTGTTTTGTTTGCAGGAGGGTTTGAAGGATCACAAGTCCAAAAAAGTTATAGAAAGTTTCAATTTTTTCTATTTGTTATATAAATTTCAATTTCTTTATAAACCGTTATTATTATTATTTCTTTAATTTAAAATGTTACAACTAAAATAAACTTAACTTAACTAGAAAACTTGTAAAAAAAAGTTTTTGTTTACTTTTTTTCTCTGAATATATAAATGAAACTATAAATTAATAAGTTTTTTTTACGTATCTGACAGGATTTGCAATCAATTCATTCCGTGTGCGAAACTAATTCATTTTGTTCTGCAAATATGCCAATTGGATCATTTAACTGTTTTTGTGAGCTCAATAAAATCAGAAATAATTACCATTTCAATGGTAATTTTTTAACATTTATAGAATTTAGTTGCCCTTGTTGTGTTTCTATTTAGTTTGTTGTAATTTAATTTTTTTTGATTGCAGGAGGGTTTGAAGGATCACAAGTCGAAGCCACCGAGTAAAGATCATTGATGTTTCAATCTACATTCACTTAAGTAAGAGATGAGATTTGCGGAGGCCGAAGCTGGAAATGGCAGCGTTTAATTAATAGTTTCGTGACTTTTGATGTCTTCAGATGCAACGTTTGCGTTGAACCCCCTGTGGATTCTCATATATTACCGGACGATGCTGAAGTAGAACCTCATTACAGTATTGCACTCGAGGGATGTTAATTTGAATCACCGTTTAGATGCCTTTAAAATAATCACCGCAAAACGTGCAAACAATTCACGGCAAGTATAGTAAATAGAACCTCCACACATCAAATGGGAATTGGGTTAATTGTTGATCGGGATGCGAAGGAGAGAAAAATGAAGTGGAAGGAAACGGCCTCGAATTAATAACGTTAAAACTTCTTTCTTTTCTCTATATTCTTCCGGTGTCGGAAGTTGCAGCACCACAGTAAGGTCGCAACGATTTACACCGGGAAATGCAGAAATTCTTTGTTTGTTTCATTTGCGACAATTAAAACTCGCTGCTTTGATAATTGTGTGTGTGTGAAGTGAAGTCGCTGCAAACATAATTATGAAGGCTGTGCGAAAGTGTTGGGGGACTTGTGGAAGGGCATAAAGCGAGCAATTATAATTTGGATACAATTTGTTAAGGAAATTTTGTCTTGTCATGTGGAAGTGTGGATCCGTTGGAAATATGGAAAACTCTCTACACAAGCTTTAGTTCGTACGCCTTTACGCGTTTAAATTAAGGCCACATCGCTTTAAATTAACACTCCATAAATCATAGTACTGATCCTTGAGGAACTCTCCCAAGAATGAGTATCTATATACTCTACATACTAAATTTGAAGACCCAAACTAACATGATGTGTCTCTATTCATATTTAATACGTTAAACGTGAGAAATATATTGCGAGTTTCTTCAGGAATATTAGAGTTCGCGATATTACATAATTGATGCGTGTAGGATGGATAAAAAAAATGCTGCTGATCTCTTCAAAACAAAACAAAGTCTGTTAATAAAAGAGAAATTGACAGTTGCTTTTTTTTCTTGTTTTGTTTGACGGGAGATGAGCGGTTTTTGGGGGCCGAATTAATAATGTGCGTTGATCGACAGCAAATGTCGTTCGAATTTGCGAAAAACTCGATCGATTCGGCCGCAAATTACGCCTATTGATGAAATTACATTAAACGCGAGCAGATTTTCGGTCGACGCGTTTTGTCGTTTCTATTTAATTATTTTTTATTGCTTCTCGCAAAATGTGTAATCGAATTAGTTACGGCCGCGTTCGACGATAATTTGCATAATTCTAAATGCGTCGTCTACGTACTAACTTATTTTTTTTTCTCGTGAAAATGTTCTTAACTTTGTTATTGTTTTGTCCAAAAAAAAGTTATAGAAAGTTTCAATTTTTTTTATTTGTTATATAAATTTCAATTTCTTTATAAACTGTTAGTATTATATCTTTAATTTAAAATGTTATAACTAAAATAAACTTAACTTAACTAGAAAACTTCTTAACTTTGTTATTGTTTTGTCCAAAAAAAGTTATAGAAAGTTTCAATTTTTTTTATTTGTTATATAAATTTCAATTTCTTTATAAACTGTTATTATTATTTCTTTAATTTAAAATGTTATAACTAAAATAAACTAAACTTAACTAGAAAACTTGTAAAAAAAAAAGTTTTTGTTTACTTTTTTCTCTGAATATATAAATGAAACTATAAATTAATAAGTTTTTTTCACTAAGTTTTATATGAGTTATTTCCAACTTCAAAACTGTTATGGGAAACATCATTGACACTAAATATGTAGATTTCGATGTATATAACTGTTTGGAATGTTGCTACAGTAACAGTAAAAGTTGAATGCTTGTTGTTGTGTCGGATACCTAGAAAATGAAAGCTTAATTGAATCGAGAATCGTTTCTGTTCGAGCTAGGATCGATGTCGACAAACGTTTATTAATTAAATTGGACAGTGAGCGCAAAACAAGTATAACGCATTTAGGATGGACGCTTCGAAGTTATGCGAAATCGTGAAATTTAATTACTAAAACGTTCACACTAAACGGCGCACATTCTAATTCAATTCATTCCATCGAAAATAATAATCACACATCACAATTCCATTTGCTATCAATGCTCCAGATTCGGTTACATTTAGTATACAGTAAATCTAACGATTTAAAATGATTTACTTGCAATAGTGAAAAATGTATGTTTAATGCATGCTATACACTTGGAAGAAACCATCTGTTGCGCAACAACGTGTATCTGTCTGTCTGTATACATACGTTGTTATTCGTTCATCACAATAACTAAAACCGAATAATAATATCGATGGAATTACAATAAAATTTTCCGCTCGGCTAGACTTTCCTCTCCCACATATATTGAAATATTGACGATTGAATCGGAAAATTCGCATCTCGAGTGTTGTTCCTCTCCGGCTTTATTTCGATTTTGGTTGGTTTCGGATTTGTCCCCCTTTTTTTTGTTTGTTTGTTAAAGAAACCCTCGGGTTTCCAGACCACTTTAATTCGCATTTAACCGGCAACGAAATTTATCTTTAGAAGCGAAGAAGTGTGCGAGAAACGCCTCAGGATTTCATTAACGAAAACTTTTTCACCGTTGAAAATTTATAAATAATACTTAAACCGATTTCGTTTCCTGCTATTGTCTTGCGCGTTATTTGTCTTCATTGTTATTTAATAATCGTGGCAAAAAGTTCATTGTTTTCTCTTGAAAATGTAGCTTGTTTTCAGGTCGTTCCAACGCCTCCAATTAACTTGACATTGTACAACCAGGAGAGATAACGTAAAATCATTTTTCATTTCTTTGAACAATCATAGCGAAAGTTCATAATTCTTCTCTCATTGAAAAACTCAACTTTTCGGATTGTTTCAATGCTTCCTATTAATTTACATCCAGGATAAATATTAAGTTTACTAATTAATTCAAGTACGTTCAAATTTGCATTGTTCTTGATGGAAATATAGCTACTTTTTCGTGTCGTTTCAATTAACTTGACAAAAGAATAATGTAGCCTCAATTTTCATCCCTTTTTTTTGCATAAAAAAAAATGTAAATCGACCCAAATTCAAAGGAAAAGACACCTTTCATTTCCTCCCCTCTTTTGCGATGCTGATTTCATTTGCGGCGCATTTAAAATTTTAAATCGAAGTCTCGCTTTGAAAATCGAGTTTCAGTTCGAAGATTGCATTAATAAAGTGCCGGATATTGCATTTCACTTCCACGTTACCATAAATTGTCTCCAATCGTATGCATAGAATACTTCACTAAGATAAATTAAATTATTGTTCTTAATCTTTAGACTTTTATGCAAAATTCAATCTCACAATCTCAAAATATTCATTCTGAATTTATTGATAATGTTTGAGATGTTCCAAAGACTAAATTATAACAATTTTTTGACAGGTGACAGATGACTTTGACAGGTGACAAATCACTTTGACAGATGACTTTGACAGGTGACAAATGACTTTGACACAAGATGACAGGTGTTATTTCGCGTTTCATAAAATATTTATCACGACCAAATATAGCTTAGAAAAATATTTATATTACAATTACGTTTATATAATTGAAGATCAATTAGAGAGAAGGCAAATGTACTTAAAAAAGCAACAAGTGCATTTCAATATTTTTTTTTGTTGAATTTGCGAAAGTTTAAAGAGTTTACAAATTAATTTTACATGTTCGAAATCGGCGCCGTACAAGATCTGAAATATAATAATTTGCATGTAAATTGGGATCGCGGGGATTTAATTAATTGGATTAACCTTACCCATTTTTGCACGTAATTGGATAGTGCAAAATGAGAATGAAATAGGGAGAGAAGAATGTTGAAAAAAGAAAAGAAAAGTACGTATTAAACTGTAATGCAATAATCCACCCACCAAGTCTATTATCAAGGATTAATTTCGCAGCTCTCTTTATTGAATCGCAAGGTCTTCGCAGTTTAACGCCACCCACGTTCACATACATAAACGATAATTTATATTATATATAAAGGGCTCAGATGGAATTAGAATAGTCTTAAAGCTGCAGATAAGACAGAACAATTTGTTGAGCGAGTTTAATTTCATAAGTCCGTTAACAACAATTCCCGAAAGTCTATTTAATTTAAATACTTTTTTTTATGTTGCGAGATTAAAATTAATTAAAAGCGTAAGATAGAAAAAAATAATTGAAAATATAATATAATGAATGAAATTGTTTCAGATTGTGTAGTTTTTATTTTGTGTCATAGGTCATTATAAATAATTACAGTTGGTACGGATTATAGAAGTGTCAATTTGTTGTTACGTATACAACTTAAAACAAATGTAAATAAATTAGAAGCGCAAGATATAAAAAAAATAACGTTTTTCTTATTGAATAATGAAAGTAAAATTAATTCAAAGTGTAAGATTGAAAAAAAATATTTTGAAAATATAATATAATGAACGAAATTGTTTCAGGTTGTGTAGTTGGTATTTCATGTCATAGGTCAACATAAATAATTACAGTTGGTACGGTTTATAGAAATGCCAATTTGTTGTTACGTATATAACTTAAAACAAATGATACTAAAGTAAATACATTAGAAGTGCAAGATAGAAAAAATAATGTTTCTTTATTGAATAATGAAAGTAAAATTAATTCAAAGTGTAAGATTGAAATTAAATATTGAAAATATAATATAATGAACGAAATTGTTTCAAGTTGTGTAATTGGTATTTCGTGTCATAGGTCAACATAAATAATTACAGTTGGTACGGCTTATAGAAATGTCAATTTGTTGTTACGTATACAACTTAAAACAAATGAGGCTAAAGTAAATACATTAGAAGTGCAAGATAGAAAAAAATAATGATTTTTTATTGTATAATGAAAGTAAAATTAATTCAAAGTGTAAGTTTGAGAAAAAAATTGAAAATATAATATAATGAATGAAATTGTTTCAGGTTGTGTAGTTGGTATTTCATGTCATAGGTCATTATAAATAATTACC